GTGCGCATGCGGGTGGCGGGGCGAGAAACCGACAACATCAGTTCGTCATCGATAGCTTGGTCTGGCTATATGAGCAGATATCCAACCACGGTGAACCACGACAAAGTGGCAGACGTAAATGGCAGACAAATGCTATGCGAGTGGTAGCCAGTCAGACAAACAATCGGACAGATCAAGATCAGACGCACAGAGAAGTGAAAAGCAGAGACATCACTACAAAGGTGTGTGTGTGTGTTTAACCTATCAATACACATTCGAAACAGGCGCTTTTACGCATTCCTCAATGTGAATACACCAAAACGCTTCTCATTTTATCACCACATTTCATTTTCGGCATTTTGTGATTTTCATTCTACTATTCCACGGAAATTGTTAGGCATTTGCTTCTTTCTATCCGTAACACACCATATTGTTCCGGTGTCTTTTGGTCCTTGATACATACCGATTAGTTGAGTTGTGACTTGTGTTTTCCTTCTCCACAGTTGGACTGGAGCACTGGTTAGGGCAAAGCACTAGACAGTGAAGGTTGTTAGTCAGTGTTACAACAGAAGGCAGGTTTACGACCGAGGAGTGCAGGCAATGTAAGAACATTGTTTCTCATACTACAAGCCGCCTACATCTGCCTTTCCCGATAGTAAGAGTAGGTTTTGTTCGTCGACTGTCATGTTTTGTACCAAATGCCCTCATGAAAAAGTACTAATAAAATACCTAGACAACATGTGCCCATACCAGGTCGTGTGCTAGTGCCTACTGTCAAATGACTTTCCTTTCACCGAGGTTGCCCCACTTCCCCATTTTCCATCTAATAGTATCATAGATTCCGACATAGTATTTCTCCGTGGTCTCGCGGAACAGGTAGTAGGACCATATCAGAGGAAAAGTAGCGCTTCCGGATTGTGTGAACACTATCATTCTGCCCTATAGGAATTACGAAGAGGCACAGTTAATGCTAAGAGAACCTTCTTTGTGGTCGGACGCTTTCGCATACGACAATGTCGATTAATAAAATGTGAGAGATGGAACAAGCTTTCGCGTCCGATGGGAATTCGCCTGCATCTTAGAGGTGGTGTATATTGGTATGCAGAGCCACTATCCTCGACGATATCGGAGATCAGGGGCATCTTCAAGTCATAATCATCGTGGCCTACGAAGGTTTCCTCGTAACAACTGCGCCAGTTAGCAGGTCATGATGAAATGTGCTAACGGGTGTAAAGCAAGGATGGCCAGGTTGTCTTCGGAGCGTCTCTCATTCTTGGAGTCCCCCTTTACGTCGGCTTCAGTTGCCGATACAGTGATTCGGAGATCTACCCATGCAACAAAAGGATTTGCAGTTCTCGTGCAGCTTGCTCTTCTACCGGAAGATTGGTGTCTACGGTGTTGTCTACTTGGAACTTACGTGTATCTCCGAGAACTGATACCATCTCGGAAATATAACCCCCATTGTCCACGTAGATGACATATGAACTGTCACCAGCGATGAGCATTTTAACCGAATCGTCACCCAGTTGAATTCGACTCATCCCAATCTCTCTGTGTCATATGAGAGGGAAAAGCAAGATAGCCTGCCATCGCTAGACATTCTCATCAAAAGGCGAGCCGGAGGTAGACTCCAACGCGCCGTCTACCGTAAAGCAACTTGGAGTGGACAGTACATGCATTTCACCAGCTTCGTAGCGGTTGTATACAAACGCGTTATCGTCGGAACCCTTTACTACAGAGCCAGACGTATTTGCGGTCCAGAGACGCTACAGTGTGAAGAAGAGTTCCTACATAGTACTCTTATCAGACGGGTATCGGGAGAAATTTATTCAGTGCCACAGTGGACCCATCAAAGTCAAGCTACCAGTACAAATGATGGAGAAAAAGATGTTTGTTTATTTATACTGTTCAAAGGGGCAATGTTTCGGATGAAATCGTTCATAAACTTAGATCTGCTGTAACGCACACTTAAACCACCGCGTGTCAACGAATCTGCCACACCACATGAAGACTGGCGCTCAACTACCGTCCGGATATTTCGTCAGCCGGTTTGGCCCCTCATGTTATTTGGCAGTTCACCTGCGGCTGCGGTGACGTCCATATGGACAGGGCCGATCAGTGACTGGCTTAAGGAGTGCTCGAGCATTTCCTAAAGTGGTTGAGGCAATTCATGGTACAACATGAAGAGGCGGAACCCGAACTCATCTATTACAAAGCACCTCGTGGTGAATGGTCATCACATGGACTCATCGAAGACACTCAAAGTGCTATTGATCAATTGCAACTCGAAAATGCTGGCAATCAGTGAAAGATTACTGATGGCGGTAAACAAGCCGGTACTGTGCGCGCAAAAGCAACTGAAGCAGTCAATCAGATTGCCTTGGTCTTGACTGCTCAACTTTGCTTTACCCGTACAGTTTCGTTGATTTATTACTCATACGTATTGCATATGCGACTGAGGAGAGCAACCGAAATGTTAACATATAGTAACATTTGTCTTTGGCTCGCAACAGGCACCATTGACGTGCCTGCAACTGTCTCCTAGCCGAACTACTACAAGTTTGAATTGTGTAATGTCTGGCAAGTTGCGCGGAAAGCCTGATTACGTCATAAGGTAGTTCAGTTTGCAAGGGAGCTGTACAGCCAGCACAGTCCATCTGTGTGTGTGTGTGTGTGACCACGTGCTGATGCTCTAATCATGAATGCTCTTCCAGGTCATTCGGCTCACTTGTCACAAAAGACGTGGTGTCAGTGAGGTCATTTGCGACGTTGACGGAACGCCGATAAGCAACTTACACAGGCGTATGGACCGCTGGGCTGAACACTTCCGCACTCAATTCATTTGGTCTCCTCGGCCAGCGAGTCTATTGAGTATGCCTAATTGGAAGGTCTCAATGGAACCACCCATTGAAGCTGAGGTGTGCCTTGATCTCCGACACTTGAAGAGATTCAAGTCTCTGGCCCAGGCGGACTTCTTCCAGAGCTGTTCAAGTTGGGGGGGGGGCGAAGCACTTGTCAAACAGCTAGCAGCTCAGTTCTCTAAGATCTCGTGTGAAGAAACAGTTCCATCCGCTTGGAGCGAGTCAATTATCGTCCCGATCTTCAAGAAAGGTGCCCCTACCCTATGCGCTAACCACCGAGGAATCAGACTAATGTCCCTTGTTCCCAAGCTGTTAACATCCATTCTACTCCGTAGACTAACTCCGATTCGAGAATTGCACTCCCGTGAAGAACAGGCTGGTTTCTGCCCCAGTCGAGGGTGTATAGACCACTTGTTTACGCTCCGCCAACTCCTTGAAACGCGTCATCGTTACCGCCAGCCCACTATCGTTGATTTTCTGGACATCCGAGCCGCTTTCGACTTCGTCGATCAGCCAGCTTTATGGCGTTGCTTAGAAAAGAATGGAGTACGTGAAAAGTATATCACCATCCTTCGAGCATTATATTGCAATATCTCAGGTAAGGTGAGGGCTTGTGGCAAATTCTCTTCACCTTTTGCCGTCATTAGCGGTGTACGACAGGTTTGCCCCATATCCTCGTTTCTCTTCAATTCCGCGATCGAGGATGTCCTTTTAAATGCTCTCGAGGGCTTCCAGGATTCTGGTGTAGAGCTTCTTGCCGGCAACCGCGTGACCAATTTAAATTATGCTAGTGATATTACCTTGCTTGGTGATAACGCACAGAGCACACAAGCCGTTATAAACCGCTTGGAGATTGAAGCATCAAAATATGGAATGACCTTTTCCCCTACGAAATGCAAAGTCCTGGTCCTAGATTGGCATCCACCTACTCCAGTGCTCACCCTTCAAGGTACGCAGCTTGAACAAGTGGACAACTTTGTTTACCTGGGAAGTTGTGGCTTTACTGATGGTAGCATTGGAAAAGAGATTCCTCTCCGCATTGCCAAAGCCCGTTCAGCATTCGCCAACCTGAGACATCTGTGGCGACGTCGCGACGTTTCACTATTGGTAAAGGGCAGAGTCTACAATGCCTGTGGTAGCGCGGTGCTGCTGTATGGGAGTGAGTCCTGGCCGATTCGTGTGGATGACTTGCGTGGGATTTCGGCCTTTGACAATGGATGTCTACGGAGAATAGCTAGAGTGTGGTGGATGTAACACGTACGCAACGATGATATTAGACGTCGCATCATGGGTAACACGGGACTTCCACTTGACAGACTGGTACCACTGCGCCAACTGAGATGGCTTGGCCACGTTTTACGCATGTCATGCGAACGGCTGCCCCGACGCGCTCGCATAGGACCAGGCTGGAAGAAATCGTGCGGGGGTCATCCTATCACGTGGCGACAAACGATTAAAGCGCTGACTTCCAGTTTAGCTGTCATAGATCCCGTGCGTCTTCCGGGCTGGGGGATCAAAAATGAAGAACACCGCTGGCTGGAAACTCATTCGGAGATGGCACAGAACCGGGCTCAATGGAAAACGTTTACAAATGTTTGTCTTGATTTACATTGCAAACATTAAACAAAAAAGATAAAACGGCGTGTAAAACAACAAAAAAGGAGAAACACAAAAAAAACTGTCTTTGCAAGTTTCATCCTTTCCGTTGTGGTCTGTATTTATTACTTCGTTTCATGGTTTTCGCTGACCATTTGTCTATCTTTTAGACTGCTGTTATATATATATATATATATATATATATATATATATATATATATATATATATCTTATTAATCCACATGAATAGAGCTACTGGGTTGTACAGTTGCGACCTAGCAAAAAAATTATCGTTAGTGGTTTGCTGATCATCAGAACGTACGGTGCAATACATTGACTGTTCTGAGTTGAGAATACAGTTTAATGTATGAAGTAGAAACCCAGCATAAGTCTGCAAAATAATGATTGCAAAGTGTCGCATAGTATACCAGTACGATACTCAAGATCAGAGATCTTCGGTGCTGTTCGCGTAGAAATAACTGCGTTCAGAGCTGTGTACAAAGCAAACAGCTGCCTCCATATATGATCACAAAGTAGACATGACGAAAAAGAATACAAACAAACCTTTAGAAACACATCCAACTCCAACGCGCCCTTTCCGAGGGCCTTGCCCAGAAAATAGATGGCGTCTTCAATAGCTTGCTCTTCAGCGAAACTAGAAACCAACTGGCGATAAAGAGGATACGTCGTATCTACGGCCTCGTCAACGTTTAGCGGTTCATTTTCCGCCACACGCAAACGGTTGAACAAATCGGACAGTTCAGCGTTCTTTTTCTTCAGTGATTCCAATGCTTCATTAGCCCTTTCCTAAAGTCAGAAAATAAATTAGAAAAGTACTAACGAATTGACTAAGTATGGGTCAGGCATTATGGTCGCACTGCTTCGACCAAACCGATTAGTAAACAGATCGCTAGATTTGATAGTCGTCCTTTGAATGCGTCGGGCTGCATATAAGTAGCAGAGATCTCAACGTTGAGGAGCAGGAAGGCTAGGTGAGTGTGGAATAATGGCGCAAGACTGTGGTTCGTGATTGGCTGGATGGGACTACATGAGCAGTGTCACGGCACTGTCCGTTCTCAAGAACTGTCGTTACCATATTTGCCGAACAGCGAAAATCGGTTATCATCTAGCATGAGAGCCGGCTAATGGCAGAGAATGCATCGAAGATTAGACAAGCTGATAGGAATCTGCTGGACCGAATCGAGGAAATAGCAAGCGAAAGAGCGAAATAGGATAAGAATAATGTATACACTCTAAGAAGCAAAGTATATGCTTGAAAGCCAATTCGGGTCTGGCTCACACTGTCGAGAGTACTTCTAATCCATACACCACGTCGCTTACAAGTTTAAATATCCATCGGTAAAACACATTCGATATGTACTGAAGGGAAATAATTGGAGCCTGAGGACCAGAAAGTACCTGCTCACGATCCATTTGGGACATCATGTCTTTCAACCGCTGTCCGCCGCAAATCAAGTCCGACTGGGCCTGCTGAAGAGCTTTCAGTTCATCGCCATACTGACAAATAAGTTCGTTCTGAACCCGACGAATTTTGTCCAGGACTGCAGAGCATAAGGATAGCCGCAGATGTTGTTCACTTAATGAATCTGTGAAGTAATCAACAAGATAGACGCAGGCAATAAATTGAGACAGAAAAATGGTCATGGTTAATTATTTAAAAGTACTAAAATGTAAAATAGTCTCCAGTTGTCAATGGTGGCTTCAACAGACAAGACATCTGCAGTACAGCACCATGTCGTACGAACACCCCGTTGCAATGCGACCAAGAGCAGTCATGTGTGGACTAGAGGTACTGTGAGATTTCCAGCGCTACGAGGCGTAAACCACTAGGGTACCGGCTGAAAAACGGAGGTTTTCAAAGATTTCAAATTGCCTGTGGCTTCGAGAATCTGATCAAAGTGTTAAAGATGTCACCAGAAAATTATTTGGGAAGTGATCCAGAAACCTTGAAATGACGCCTGATAGAGAGCGTCCGGTGAAGATAAGTGCCACAAGAAAAAACCGGGTATTGTTCTAACTTGCCTGAAGTGAACTTGAAGGAACCATGTAAGTAAAATTTGAGCTCAGACAAGTCAATGCGAATATTAGAGGATTAAGCCGGCCTGTAGTGTAATCGTCGCCTAGTGAAATATCTGAATTCCCACGGAAAACGATGGTCAAACTCCTATCGTCGAAGAAATAGGAAGCAAATGGCGTAATAAAAATGAAAAACTGACGTAGGCAATCTCCCCTAATTGCCAAGGAAAAGTGAGCGACGCAAATGTTGGCAGCATAACCATTGTATCCAACAGAAAGTGCTCTCTGGATGGTTGGTGCTGAACGTTCAACCTATGATGAAAAACAACCAAAGGGTGCCACAACAAAAACGAGTGCTCTGATGTTCCGAAGCCGAATCAAGAAATGCCAAGACGAATTTCATCTAAGTACAGTATGTCCAAGCTGAGCCGCATGCTGAGGCAGCGCTAACATCAACTTCCTTAGACTGATGACGGTTCCTAGTTCAGTTGGTCGAAATGCAATGGCGGTTTATCCATGGAAAGTAAAAAGGGGGAATTTATTCCAGTTCTGTGATCAAACATTTGCAACACCAAGAAAGTCATCAGTAGTATGCCGGCACACCGTACCGACACTTCGCTGTTACGTGAACACCACCAGTAGCGCGTGGGCTGAGTATAGTGTGAGGGTGCCTGCCCCTACGTGGAGTCGAACTAGTGTTTTAAGGATTGCAGCTCAGGCATACAATCCTTTCGGCCGCCGGCCGATTGCAACTCCGAGGGAAATGAATGGGTTTAAGAGGAGACGTCTAGTGAGCTTATAATGGAGAAATGGGTGTCATGATTGTCCCACAACGCACATAATACGTAAAGGGACCGAAGATGAACACAACTGTCTCAGAAACCTCACCTATTGCGAAATCGTCCATGGGTAAAGTAGTGAAAAACTGATTTTGAGAATTGTACAACATGGCATGTTCTTCCGATATTCAACGTACAAAGTACTGCAGCAGAGCTGCATCAATACATCAGCACATTCGGCTGTCACTGATCAGTCCTCCTAAATGGTCGACTGGCTCATGTAGATAGGTGACCACATCAGTAGTGGGGGCAAATCATCGAAGAGGTTTCTGTGAAGATTAACACAGCCATTATAGTCTTCGGAATCCATACCTCTGTGGAGTTGAATGGATATCCAAATATCAATCGAAGGCAGAGTAGGTAACATACAGACGCGGCTGGTGGTACCGTGTGGATTGGAAGCATGGCCATTGCGAGCTGAGGGGGGTAGCTACTTGATTGTCGTCGACCAGCAGTGAGTGTGCGTCATCTGTCGCATTCGGTTGGATCACTGGATTAGGTGATATTTGGCAACGACAACAGCAATACATTAGCATATGTGCTGCTGTTTCGCTGGTAAACAATCCTAAGGGGCTCACCGATATATATATATATATATATATATATATATATATATATACAATCTGTGGTACAGATATTGTGCCATCGGAATCATGGCTTAATAGGAAAACGGGCAGAATAATAAAAGTGCAACAACAAAAGCTCTATTTGTCTATTTTAACACTCAGTTTTTGAAAAATTTTTCAGTTTGTTCTTTTTTAGGGGGAAAATGAAGGGACACCGCAACACACCGATGCACACGTCCGCCATTGACATCTATCTTGAGCCATAACTTCCAAGGTCTTCAACCAGCAAGTATCCGCATCTCTCGGACCCTAACCAGGTAGTCGGCAACAACCGGCCGAGGCCAACTGTTTCGTCAGCTTTTTCATGCGGGTTCTCCATGTTGTAGGCTGTCCACCAGACCGTCTCTTCCATCCCTGTCCAGCAAGTGCAAACAACGCACGACGGTGATAACGCTGGACAGGCATGCGCAATACGTGTCCCAACCACCGCAGTTGATGTAGTGAGACGAGCTCCTCGAGCGAGTGGTTTCCACGTCCCAAGACACGCTGTCTAACTTCCAAATTGCTTATGTGGTGCTGCCACCACACACGGGCAATGGACCGCAGACAGCGGTGCTCGAAGACGGATAGCCTGCGCAAGTCATCTTTACGAATGGGCCAGGTCTCGCATCCGTACAACAGTACAACACGAACAGTTTCACAATAGACCCGCCCTTTGATGGAGAGACGAATGTCTTGGCGACGCCACAAATGCCTCAGCCTAGAAAAATGGAGGCCTGCTCTCGAGATGCGCATCGAAATGTCGTCTCCAACAGCCCCGCCAGCAGTGATGCAACTTCCAAAGTAGACAAAGCTCTCCACAACCTCTAGTGTCTCACTAGCAAGAGTGAGTGCAGGCAGATGCACCTGCCAGTCTTGGAAGAGAGCTTTGTATTTGGATGGCGAAAAGTACATACCGTACTTTGATGTTTCAATCGCCAAGCGGTTTAATGCAAGTTGGACGACGTGTGGATCGTCACCCAGCAAGACGATATCATCAGCATAATCCAAATCAACAACTCGACTACCTGGGAGGAGCTCAACGCCAGCGTTCAACGAATCGCCTAGAGCGTTCTTCAAGACATCCTCGATGGCAAAGTTGAATGGGAACGGAGAGATAGGGCATGCTTGTCGAACTCCACTGGAGACCACAAAGGTAGGCGAAAGCTTGCCATAAGCCCTAACCCTGCCCGAGGTCAGACCACAGAGAGCGCGCAGCATGCAGACGAACTTCTCGGGGACACCATTCCTCAGTAGACAGTGCCACAGTATTGTACGATCGACAGAATCGAAGGCTGCACGGATATCCAGGAACACAGCAATCGTTGGCCTCTGATACACATGGTGATGCTCGAGGATCTGGCGAAGTGTGAAGATTTGATCGATGCAGCCGCGACCAGGGCGAAACCCAGCTTGTTCTCGTTGCAACAATTCGCGTGTTGGGGATAGCCTGCGAAGTATGATGGACACCAGCAGCTTGCAAACGACGGGGACTAAACTTATTCCTCTGTAGTTGGAGCAGATTGTGTGCAGGCCCTTTTTGAAGATAGGGACGACTATCGATTCACTCCAAGATGACGGAACTTTCTCTTTCGACCAAATTTTCGGGAACAAAGCGGTGTTCTCGGATCAGCGATGTGCCACTATCTTTAAATAGAGCCGGAGGAAGACCATCAGGGCCGGGGGCTTTACAACGCTTCATGTGCCGGAGCTCCTGCTCGATTTCCTGGGAAGAGGGAGGATCTGTGGGGGTAGACCACTCGGCCCCAGCGCGAGCGCCAGAGGTAGCAGATGGAGCTGGGGGCCAACAAAACTGCTAGCCAAAATGTTCGGCCCATCGCTCCAACCGTCGTTGAAGATTTGTGATTAAGGTGGCATCCTCTTCGCATATTGTTTCACTTATACCAGATCCAACACCGGTGACTCGAATGAGATGGAAAAGTTTTCTGGTATTACCAGAGAGACTAGCAAGCTCCATCTCCCTAGAAAGTTCACACCACCAAGCATCGCTGTCTATTTGCAGACTAGGTACTTCAGTAGTCTATAGACTGCCTACCTTCACACCCTATTTGCTAATATTGTGTCTCATTGGGCGTAGCGCGACAGGAAGTATGTGAAGCGATTTTACGAAAACACTGGGTGGACAGTTGCATGTCACGTTCGCGAATAGGAACCTCGGGATCACCACAGCGCTGTTCAGAGACGGCTAATGGCATAAGGCCCGAGAATTCAACGAGACACTTGGACCTGAGCTCTTGCCCTTTACACAATGATACCATTTTCCGTCGCAACTTCGTCTGTTTAGCAACCTTTCTCATGAAGGTTGGTCATGGATACGTTTCCATTCGGTGCTCGGATCACACGACCGATCAGCTGGGCCGCGAAAAATACTTAAGCGTATTAGGAAGCTTGTTATCGCAAAGAACCTTTGGCATTCTATTCTCACGCATTCAGAGTAGGACGCACATCAGAAATGATCTGCATTGTGTAATAATAGGCTACTTATCATACAAGTTGCCTCCATCTGCACTGGTGTGGGAGTTGTTGTGTGCAAACGTCTGGCTACTTTTCTCGCAGCTGTCGTCAAGCACTTTCCTTGGTGGATTTATCGGTACATTGGAAGCAGTTCGTGGAAATTTCGGCATCGTTCAGTTCTTTTTTAAATTCGGTAATCTTTGGAGCATAGTTTTGTGGCATCTCTCCACGGAGGTCGGTTCTGCAAATTTTGTGTTGACATTTTACGTCACCAACGCCATCTATCCAAAATATCGAAGAAATCAAGTTGTGGTTCCCGTTCGTAAATTACTGAACACACGGCAAATGCACTTAGGTGGTTTGACTGCTGTGATAGATTTCATACTTGGTGTATTTGATCACCTACCTATTCGCGTATCGGCAAATTTTATGAGACGATTATCGTATGACATCTACCGATGCAAATGGCAGGCAAAACTGTGACCAGTTCTAGATACATGGTTACGCAAACTGTCAGATGTTCAACCCAACCTCCCTGTGACAATTCGTTAGCAAACCACCTTAATTTTCCCGGAAGCAAGACACCAACTAAGGCTAGTGGTAAACAGACTTGGTGCTCTGCTAGCTCTAAACACTCAGATGAATGCCCAA